AAAATTTTAAGAAGACAGTCAAAGTTGTGAAAGATGCTGGACTGATGTCACTAGAGCTCTGATTTCTTGCTTCTTAGGTGTCCTGTCCCCACCTCCCCACACTGTTCTGCTGGATAAACTCTTTTCTAGTAAGATGTCGCATCCTTTGCAAAGAATCATTTAGTAATTTGGTTTGGTAAAAATCAGTAAGTGTGATGGAAATGAAAATACCAGCATCCTTACGAATGAATTATTGCCAGCTTATCAACTATTTCTAAAGCACTGATGATGCTAATAAAGGCCAGCTTAAACTAATTTATGGCAGGGAGCTGGTGCTGAAGACAACAGGAAACAGTTACAATCGCCACATCATAATCACTTCTCTTTCTCTTACATACATTCCCCCCACACACCCCATCTCAAATACTCTGTGAGCATTGACTAGATCACACATTCTTGTTAGACACTGGAGATAGAAAAGAGCAGGAATTAGAGTTGCTGCCTTCATATTGCTTACAATCCATAATTAACTGCACAAACACATTTCTTTTTACCCATGGCCTATAAGGCTGGACTATGGCTTTCCCTGGCTCAGGTGTGAAAAATGGTTTTGCATGGGTCTATAAAAGGAGAAACTACCTATAAGTGGAATAACAGAGGGCAAGAGCAATGCCTGTAATGTGTGGGGCTTTACGGAAAATGATAACAGAATTTATTACGAGGGTCAATACTCTGTAACTGTATCACAATGTTAATCTTGCAGATTCTTAGACTCCATGTAGATGTTCAAAACCATGACAATTTTAATCAGTTCAATCAAGTATGTATATTAAGAATGTGGAAGAACAGAATAACAGATAGTCTCTGTCCTTAAGGAGTTTAAAGCTTAGATGGAGATGCCATAAATTCATATAAAAACACAGGTGAACACAAAGCAGTGCATGAGCATCAAGCGAGGGCGAGAACCTGCAGAGGCAGGAAGAGCCTCGGGCTGTAGGGATGTCTAGCTGTCCGTGGAACTTGGCACCTCGTCAATCACTTGCTCTGATTCAGCATAAGAGACAACAGTAGAAAGGCTTAATCATTTGTTGTGATGAGATTATTAGGAAAGGGATTAAAGAGAAGGCTGGGTAAGGGAGAAATGGGGAAAGACTTTGTATATACTAGTCTGAAGCAAATAGCTGAGTGAAACTATTAATGCATGCAGGTCAACCGTGTGGGAAAAATCCATCATCATAGGATGGAGAGGGCCACAGAGGCAGGCCCCACCTATCCAGACACCCAGGGCCGGGCTGTTCATGCTGGGGGTGGGAGAGGAAGCTCACTTATCCTCCGAAGACTTAAAACAGGCTATTGGTCCTAAGATTTCAATGAAAGACTCTTGTAGATAA